GGAGGGGAGAGACGATTTTTTAATTAGCGGGCGAATTAATGGGGAGTCACTCTGCGCCGAGAAAACATAGGGTTTCTTATAGCGCCGTGACTTTCTACGCAATATTAATTTTTTTATTGCGGTGATTAAGGGGTGAAACGGGGGTTGATGGATGGGGAATTTAATTCTCCATTGAACAGTCTTTGTTTCATCCCTTAATATTAATTAGTCGGCGAATAAATTAACTGAAAAACATAAAGTAAACATTGAGTACAAGGAGGACAAAAATCCCCCTACGAACCTGTCCCTGTGACAGCGGGACTGTTCGAGATTTTGACAATGAGAAAAGGAGGACATTAAGAAAACAGGTCTCATGTTTTACGCTATGAACGATTTTCTGACACGATTTTTCTAGGCTCTGATCAGAGGATCGGGAAATACATCCGCACAATTGGAAAACATGGATACATGTATGATAGAATTATTTTACACCAGAATTTTACAAACTTTAATTTTTCACATTTTTCAAACTACAATGTTTGATGTGTCATTTGGGTAAGACGAAACTCACGGGTTTACACGTTCGACTCTATAAATCTTCGTTTGCATATTCCTTACTTATTTTTATGTTATTAAAAAAATACAGTTTACAATATGTCCAGCCACTCTAATTTACTTATGACCCTCCAGAACTCACAATCAGCCTAGCCATTAAAAATGGCTACCAACGAGAATGCATCCCCTCCACTCTGAACCCCCTCCTAAGCCTTCTATGATGCTGATTAGGTTTTCCTTATTTTACGCCAATTTATCGAATTGATAGACTTTGATTCAGTGTATATCAATGTCTATCAAATCATTCCGTGTAGAATGAGCCCAAGTAGAAGTTTGTATCAAAAATTAAAAAAAAAAGAGGGGCTATCTTTAATGACAATTGTTTGAAAATTCATTTTAAAAAAAAAATTCAGTCTATCAAATTATTTTTATAGTCAATCATTGTCTATCATTCGCCTATCAATGGATTCCCATGGTCAAAATAAATAATTTTTAATAATTAGGGGCTAACTTTTTAGAGCTACTAACGCCACTGATGCTAATGAAACACCCGGAGGCGACAGAGATTTCTTTTCAAATGTAGATATTGTTCACTCGCACAGTATCGAGATACTGAGGAGGTGATTGAAAAATGTCTTTTTTTATTTTATTTTATTTAAATTGTTTATTGAATAATCAACACTTTATTTATTACACTTGTACATTTGTTTAGAGGATAATATTTTTAATAATGAAATATTTGAAAGTTAAAAAAGGATATCAAACAGTAAAGAAAAATGAATGTCAAATGTAACCGAAACGCGGCGTAATTCGTTATTATTTAAACCGATAAGGACGAAAATTATTTACGAGAGGAACTGGTTGAACTTACTTACTTTTAGAAACTCGTTTATTCATGTTTTATGTTACATTATTTACATTTTTTAGTTTCGTGTTTAGTGAGGTGCCTATTAACAGATGTTAATTTTGTCCTTATTAATTATCTTATCGTTTTCTTTAACATGTTTGTACGTTTATTAATTTCTGTTTTACCAGGATGTATTTGGTTTAGGAGGGTGAGTCAGGGTGCCCTCCACATTTGTTATATGATGTTTGTCTTACAGCTACTATTTACAGGTAAACTCTTCCTAACCACTAATACTACCTCTTTGGTTTTATTTTTGTTCTTAATATTAATGTTTTTGTTTATTTTTATCTTTGTTATTGTCGTGTGTTGCCATGGCAATGTGTTGCGGTAATTTG